CTTTCGGACTAACCAATTCTCCTGCTACTTTTTACACTTTGATGAGACAAGTGTTCGACCCGTTCTTGGATCAATTTGTCGTGGTCTACTTGGATGACATCATGGTGTATGGAAATACACTCGATTAACATACCAAGCACCTTCGTCAAGTTTTCCCAGTTTTGCGAGAGAATGAGCTATATGGTAAAAGGGAGAAGTGTGCCTATGTGACAATAGAGATGTCATTCCTTGGTCACATCATTGGTGGAGGCAAGGTGAAGATGGATGAAGCAAAGGTAGAGGTAAAACGAGAATGGGAGCCACCAACAAGGGTTATAGAGTTGAGATCATTCCTTGGCCTATCCAACTACTATCAGAGATTCATCAAGGGATACTCCGCCCTTGCAGCACCCTTGACAGATCTTATAAAGAAGAATAAGGTTTGGGAATGGTCGAGCCAGTATGATTAAGCTTTTGAGGCCTTGACTCGACCCAACGAAGGCCTATAAAGTATAAACTTAGGCATCCAAATTTTCAATTGGTGGTTTGATAATGCTGGACGAGCATCCCATTGCATATGAAAGCTGGAATCTGAATGATGATAAGAGGCGATACACGATCCTAGAGAAGGAGACGACGGTGGTGGCGCATTTTTTAGGAAATGGAGGCACTAGTTATTGTGGTCAACTTTCATCGAGGGACAATGTGACAATGAACTACTTCCTGACTCATAAGAAGATCACCCCCAAATAAGCTAGGTGGCAGAATTTTTTGCCAAGTTAGACTTTGTGATGGAGTACAAGCCGGGCAAGGCAAACTCTGTGGTAAATTCTATTAGCCAAAAGAGCATGCCCACAGCCATCAGCCATCAGCCAGCCACAATTCCCCATGAAGGACCAATTCGAAAAGGACCTCAAGCATGATCCCTTCGCCAAGACCTTAATTGAGTATGTCAAGGAAGGGAAGACTCAACGATTCTGGTTGAAGGAGGGGTTGATCCTGACTTAAGGAGATCGTGTGTACATGCCACGGTGGAACACCTTGAGGAAGAAGATTATGAAGAAGTGACACGACTCGAAGTGGGTCATCGGACACCCCAACATTGAGCGTACACAAGCCCTCATCAAAGAAGCATATTATTGGCCACGTATGCGAGATGATGTGGAGATGTATGTGAAGACTTGTCTAGTGTGCCAACAAGACAAGGTGGAGCAACATTAGCCTGACCGATCTATTGGAGCCATTACCCATGCCTCAACGACCTTGGGAAAGTGTGAGCATGGACTTCATCATTGGCCTTCTTAAAGTTAATAGATGTGGTTGCATCATGGTGGTCGTGGATCGATTGTCGAAGCATGGGGTGTTCATACCAGGGCCTAAGGATATGACAGTCGAAGATATTGCTGGCTTGTTCTTCAAGAATGTGGTAAAGTATTGAGGCATCCTGGTCAACATCGTGAGCAATAGAGATGGTCGCTTCACGGGTAGATTTTGGAGGTTTGGAGGGAGTTGTTCAAAATCATGGGTTCTATTTGAGCTTTCACCCACAGACAGATGGACAAACCGAAAGGGTGAATGCCTTGTTGGAGGTCTATTTGAGACAGTATGTGAGTGCTAGCCAAGGAGATTGTGTGAAGTTGATGGACATTGCTCAATTCTCGTACAACTTGCATCAGATTAAGGTGGCTAGCATGAGCCTATTCGAGTTGGGTACCGGCCAACAACCGTTGACACTAAATACGATGACTATGGGATATAAAGGCAAGAGTCTCGCTGTCTACAAGTTTGCAAAAGGACGACAGAAGAGATGGAGATTGTCAAATCTTACTTGCTCAAGTGTTAAAGAAGATGAAGAAATGGGTCGACCGGAAGATGAGGCATTCCGAGTTCGATGAAGGAGACATGTTGATGGTGAAATCCTACCCTCATAACTTCAAGCATCTCAAGAACGTGCACAAGGGACTTCTTCACCGATACGAGGGGTCATTCCCATTCTGAAGAGGAATGTCATGGTGGCATATAAAGTGGAGGTGCCGTCACACTTAGAGATCCACCCTGTTTTCCTTGTTAGCCAACTAAATCCATGAAGACAAGGAAAATGGATAACAAAACAAGAAGAATCGAGCACCAACACCCGTCACCAAGACGCATGAGCACAAAGTAGATGAGATCATGGCTCATTGGGTTATCCCTCGAAGGGGAGTTCATTCTATCTATGTGGAGTATCTCATCAAGTGGAAGGGCCGCCCTAAAATTGAAGTAAGTTGGGATAATGAGCTCACATTATGTTAACGTAAGGGCTTGATTGAGGCATTCCATCATTAGACCACGACGAGGACATCGTGTGATTAGGTGGGGGAGAATGTCACACCCAAGAGTCAAGCTCCGGTGAGGCTCAAGCCTTAGCATCATGAAGATGGTGGAGAACACTTACAAACCTCAAAAGATCGTGGAAACATGTAGAGACTTATGGAGGGTGTGTAGATATCTTTTAGAGGATTCTAGATGGTAGATATTTGTATAGAGTATTCTAGATACTCAATCTTGACCATAGGATTATAGGGATCCTAGCCATCCATTTTGGAAGTGAGGCCTATATAAGGTGAACCTCCATCTTGTTTGTACATCCTCCAAAAATATTGAGAGCAATACATCTCTAGAGAGAGTTCCTCCTGTCTTGTGAGCTTGAGTGAGTTTGAGTGAAGGCTGACTTAGCTATCTAATGCGACTTGAGCGCTAAGGGCTCACAGATCGAGTTTAGTCCATGAAATTTTCCTTAGAACACAAACAACCATTCCAAATTTGTGGGAGGAAAAAGGTTAAGCAGGAATATGATCTCGACGTCTTTATACCTATCGAGTTAAATTTGAACCTATCGTTTGACGGATCAATTAGTATCCTCAACTGATATCATCAAAAATGAAATCTAGATTGTCAACATAGTTCAGAAACTCATATCCCGTCTCCACATGGAACCTCTAATAGAACACCATGAGATATGAGTTCCATTGTAGTCACAACACTAGCCATCCAGTCGTAATAGTAGTCGTAACCAATATAGTCAAAATTGTGCTTCCAAGTTTAAAAGCTTAAGCTTTTACACTTCAGGTCACTAGAATTCTTCTAAGTAGAATCTCGCATTTCCCGTACAAGTGTAGTCGAAATCTACGCTTAAAAGCTTGCGTTTTTACGCTTCTAGGTCATCGGAACACTTCTGCGTAGAATTGCGATATTGACTGCATTGGTTGTAACTCATATCTCGTTGAAATTAATATATGAAACTCAAATCTTGTCATAGGAACGGTGGAACTTAAATATCATCCTTAAACCGCCTTCCCCACCGGTGTTTTCTCTAGAGAGAAAGGTCGGAGAAAGGATTAGACGCAGTTTCCATTCATAGAAGGGCTTCGACACTGCTTTTGAAGAGAGAGAAGGGAGTCGATTGCAGAGAAATCCAAATCAATGGCCCAAATAATCCTTCCTAATTAAGATCGTTAGATCGCACTTAAAAAGGATTAAAAAGGTACTAGGCGTAAGGCGAGCGTTGGGGTCTTGCTTAGCGCCTAACTCGCCTAGCCATTTCTTAATTTTGCCTTGGCATTCGAAGCAGAATTAACAATGTTTATTACATAGTGAAAGTAATAATAATTTACAGCACTTCGTACTTCATTTCAAATGGTTAGTAATTTACTTAACACTTAACAATAAGAAAAATAGCTCACAAGTTCATATAATCATAGTTGAATATCTCATAAAGTTCTTGAATTATTGAAAAGATCGATACAGATGATTGAGTTTGTAAATGGTGATGATTTTCCTCTTTGATATGGACTACCTAGCTCCCTCTAATTATGGGTAGGCGACACCTAGATATCTCCTTACTCCCTCGACATGTTCTTGAATCTTAATTTCACACAAATCCTAGTAGAGGCGTTTTGGGGTTGCTTAACGCCTAGGCATGTCAAAGCGTAAGATTAAACACACTTTTTTGAACCATGCTTAAAATAAACTAGCAACTCACAGCATCATTAGCACTATTTAACCCACTTTTCTCTTTGCTTTTTCCGGCGCGTTACTCACATTGGGAGTGGTTAGCCAACTTTTTTGTGAAGCTTTTATTTAGTTTTGGGCTAACTCCACTAGGAAGCCCAAACTATTCAAAAAGTGTCATTTGTGGCCTAAACTATTCAATATGACAAATCTGGCCCAAACTATATGCATTTTGTGACATTTGTGGCCTAAACTATTCAATATGACAAATCTGGCCTAAATCAGATAGAAACTGACTATATTTTCTATGATCTAGTAACGATCAACGTCGGTCAACATTAACAAAAAAATAGTTTGGGCCAGATTTGTCATATTGAATAGTTTAGGCCACAAATGACACTTTTTGAATAGTTTGGGCTTCTTAGTGGAATTAGCCCTTTAGTTTTTGGTCTCTATTTGTTTCCTTTCTTTAATTTTGGGGGAGATGCTTAGTTCAGTTCTTCTGAACTGCAATTGTTTCCGTTCCTTGTATCTTTTGAACTCTTTTTCTTTTTCGATTAATGCATTTCGATCACCATTATAAAAAAAATTAAATATCTTGAAATAGCCACTAGATTGGGAATTCATGTATGGTAGTTTGCTAATTTCTACGCACTTTGTTGCTTCGAACAGGGGTGGGTAAATGGACAGGATCAAGGCATGGTTGATGTTTCAACTTTCAAAGTTAGGTGACTGAATTTTGTTGTTCAAGAACGCACGGAAAATTCGAAGGGACAGATCACCACTACTATTCCAACTGAATTCCTATTTAACGCCATAACTTTTTAAAATTTACGCCCTAAATTAACTAAACAGACAATTCTACCCCAATAACTAAAACAGAAACCCCCCCAATTCCCAAAACCCTCTGCCGCCCTATTCTACCCCCAATAACTGAAAATAGAAATTCATAAACGGAAACCCCCAATTCCCAAAACCCTCTGCCACCATAAATCCCGCACACAGGAACAATTTCATCGGTCACCGACGATAAATACATAAACCCAGAATTGCCAATCCCGTCGGTGATTCGCGATAATCCCTCTCAGTCGCGTTCTCTTCTCCATCTATCCTGTCATCGGCAAAAATATCTCTCCTGCTGCTCCGCCCCGTCGCCGTTGAGGATGGAGACGCCCCTCGCCATTGAGGAAGGAGAGGAAAGGCCCGACGGGCAAGCTGCTGCTCCGCCCGTCGCCGGTGAGGAAGGAGAGGGAAGGCCGAAGCGGCTGACTGCTGCTGCTCCACCCCATTTGTTGAGGAAGGAGAGAGGTCTCCTTCTCTGCTGCTGCTCCGGCGGTTCTGGCCCTGGGTCTCTCCGACTTTGGTGTCGCACTAATACCCACAGCATCTCGTCGGCAGAGGGAAAGAAGGGTACAGTTTTGCAGGTCGGGTTGAGAGGAAAATCGTCATCAGTTCGAGGTTGGAAAGGAAAATGACGATCAACAATGAGATGAAACCCAGTGACGGAATTGGGGTCCTGATGTTCCCATGGCTAGCTCACGGACACATCTATCCGTTCCTCGAAGAAGCTGTTGGAAATTCGGAATGGCTAACCACACCAACCAAAACCGAACCAACGTGACTCCTGCCAAAACATGCATGGATGCATTTTATAGAGAAGCAATGTTTCATTCAAATTGAAATGGGATGGCAGTTATCCCATGCAACGTTTCATTTAAATGAAATGGTGGGTTGCTTTGCTTTGGCACGTTTGGAAATAATGGTTTCTGGTGGAAGACATGGATAAGGACAATTAAGTGAATGATCATTATCCATGATTATGTCCACGGGTTGCAACTTTTCCTTTGAAACAATGTACTGCTTCGGATTGAAGCAACATATTGGTTCGGCCTCTATAAATAAGAGGTGATGCATGTGAAAAGGAGAGACAACAACACACCAAAAATTCATTCTTCTTCCTACTAAAAGTTCTAAGTATGCTTTAGGTATTTAAGCCTGGAACCTAAAGTGATGATAGTTTTATCCTACGAAGAAATTTCCTGTAACCCTAGGCTTGTTGAGGGTGGAAATATTCTTTACGGAAAGTGAACGTAGTTCACGACTCTATCATAATCCTAGTCACCCGGTCTCGGGCTATCGTACGTGTACCCTCGTGCCCAAATAGTCCCAACAATCGTAAAGAATAATTTTCCGGTACGATGGCTCGAACCGCTCTTTACAAGAAACCGGTTCCGGTCTATGGAATTATGAGAATGTTCGATGATGGGTTTTTCATCGATGGCAGTAGAAGATGGGTTTTCTTCATACTTATCTCATGGTGTATTCCATATCCGGAAGGTAACTTGGAAGGGGGATGATTCGAAGATGAGGAAGAAGGAGAATGATTAGTAAAATGGAGAAATAGAAGAATGGAAATTGCCTTTGGGTAGGTCACATACTCAATGGTTAATTGGTCTAATTCTCTATTTGACATTTACGAAGTTCTAGATAAACTTGGATTTGTCTAGTGGTTTGGTGGTGTGATTTTGTCTAGTGGTTTACGTTAAACCAAAGAGACGAAATTGTGTATACAATGTTTGATGATTCTAGTAATAGAGTCGTTGTGTTTGTATGTAAATGACATATTTATCTTTGGGACCAATCAAAGATAAGTGATTTTGTCAAGTGGTTTATGTTATTTTAAACCAAGGAGACAAAATGTGTACACAATTTATGATGATTCTGGTAATGAAGTCATCGTACATTTGTATGTATAAGACATGCTTATCTTTGGAACCAATAAAAGATAAGTGAACTTTAATAAAAAGTTGTTATTTCAATCTCCATGTAGGATATGGGGGAGACAAATGTGATTCTGTGTATTGTATCAAGCGGAACGACAAGAAAGAGTCATTCTCTCAATTTTTCTGCACGAGAAGGTACTTGCATAAATTCCATAGTAGGAATTGTAGTGAGTTCAAGACCCCAATGGATCCAAGTATGGAACTTATGGTTAATACTGAAAATAAGTTTTACAACTGGAGTATTCCATGTTAAATTGAGGGCTCGATGTATGCATGATTTACATGATGCTAGATATCGCATATGCGATAGAACAATTAAGTTGGTATGTGATGAATCCTAGTTCTCATCATTTGAAATAAAATGAGGCGTGTACTAGGATATGTCAAAGGCACACTGTATTGACTTATAGTGGCTTTCCATCAATTTTGGAAAGGATTTGTTGATGTTAGTTGGATTTCTTAGGGCAATGTCTATTTTTTACCCAAACCTTTTCAAAATTCTTTTATTTTACCCAAACCTATCAAAATTCTATTTATTATCCAAACTTATTGTAAATGATCAAAGTCTGGGCATTCGTTCTGTGTTACCGTTACTTATTTCGTAACGGAACTCCACGTATGCATCCATGTCAGCATTCATTCCGAAATGAAAAAAAATCACTTATATCACTAAAGAAAATAATGAAAAATTTAAAAACTCCATAGCTCTGCAACTCCATCGCTTCTTCTTCCTCTATTCTCCGCCTCCGCATCCGCCTCCACACCACAAAACCTATTTCCATTAAACCAACCCCAATGCCCAACCCCACACGTCGTCGCCGTCGCCCGCCGCCACCCAAGCCCGCCGTCAAAACTAAGGAGGAAATCGACGTCATCGCCCGGCATCGAAACTGGAAATCCAGATCTATGAATCGGAACAACAAAAAATCAAAAGATGGGTTTTAGGGAATCGAGTTTGATGATGGGTTAGGAGCCGGAAGGGAGCAGAGATCGTGAGGATTGCTTGGACTGACGCTGACGTTGGTGCTGGTGCAGGAGGATTGGAGAAAGATGAAGACTCTACCACACAATCTAACTCGAGAAATCCATCCAATTCCAAACCCAGAGCAGGCAAAACAAAAGCTTACCAACAACAATACCGACATAAACAACCATTCCAGCAGTAGAAGATCAGCAGCAGACTACTCCTTTCCTGTCGCCGTAGTGACTCATCACCATTAGCACAACGCCACAGTACACAACCACCACCATCCCCCATCCTAAACCCCCAGAAAGCAAAAAAAAAAAGAAAAAATTCCTCCCAGATCAGGAAATAGCAGATAGCTTCTCTGATTGGGCTTCCGATTCCGACAATGGCGACGAGGGGTTTCCCCATATGCCCCAGCAATGACGACGACGGCCAAATCGATCGAGATCGAGTCGTGCTCGGTGGAGATGTTTCACCGGATTTGGAGAAGCGCCGTTGGGGAGGAGGCCGACACGCTCCGTCGTCGGCGGTGGAGGCTGTAGTTGTATAGGTTGAAATTAGGGTTTATGAAAATTTTCTCTTTCTCCCCTGCTTCCCTCTGTAGTACCAGAAAAGGGGATTGTTTGTTTCCAGTTTTTTTATTTTTTTGAAGATTGAGGAAGCAGCAGCTGCGGCAGGGGAGAGTTGGCGGAGGGGAGAGGAAGGCATTTTTAAATGTTTTTGTTTTTTTAATTTTTTTATTAAAAATAGTAAATTATAGTATTTTGACAGCCCCACGTGGGAAGCCAACTCATCATGGTCATGCTTAGTCAGCATTAATAACAGAAAAGTTGACGGAGAGTTAACGTTTGGATAATTATTAGGAATTCAATAGGTTTGGATAAAATAAAAGAATTTTGAAAAGGTTTGGGTAAAAAATAGACATTGCCCGATTTCTTATGTTAAAGGTGATACTTCAACATTGAGATGGGTCCTCTTGCTTGGGAGAGGTGCCATAATTTGGGCCTCTAGAAAGCAAACTTGCATCACTAAGTTTCACTATGGAATCAAAATTTGTGTGGCCTTGATTTCTCTTAGAGAAGAGACATAATTGTTGAGAGGTTTGGTTTATGACATATATTTATTGCTAAACCAATCTCACCTATAACTATCTTTTGTGATAGTAATGCTAATTTGGCTAAGGCATATAGTCAAGTGAAAATGACAAGTACGGTCATGTGGGAGTAAGGCACGGTAAAAGCTGTGAACTGATCATTCATAGTGTTGTGTCTAGACAGTATGACCAAACTCAAAATAATTTGGTTGATCATTTGACGAAGTGGTTAACTAGTGACTTGGTGATCAAGTCTGTGAAAGGGATGGGTTAAAGTCCATATAATTCCTGGTAATGGGACACCCAATTCCCCTCTAATACAACGTTAGAGGCTGAATTCAATGTGGAAAGCTTATTATCAGAAATTGAAGCACACAATTTGTCATCCCGAGGTATGTGCTTGTTATCCTGCATGAGAGAAGAGGATGAAGTTCAAAACTTCTTAATTGAATCTTTGAAAAAGTGTATTATGCGGGTACACGAATAAGAGATTCAACCTACGTAAGCATGAAGTGTAGCCGCTTCAAGAAACCCGGACTTTGGTTTCGTGAGCGCTTAAGAGAAGGATTGGACACATGGCGGATAATAGTGTCAAGGAGCTTAGAAGTTTTGAAAATTTAAGTGTATATTATCTTCGAATATTCATATGAGTCAATGGGTTCAATCGTTAATGACACCCTTTGTATTCGAGTATTTGTCAAGTGTAATATACTAAGGTGAAAATTCAATCGTCACGACATTTTCATTTATGCTTAAGTTTTTGTTGGAAGAATGTTAATTTTAGTGGATTTCTAATACACTAAAATGGGGGAGGATTGTTGGAAATTTGGAATGGCTAAAAATAAGAGGTGATGCATGTGAAAAGGAGAGACAACAACACACCAAAAATTCATTCTTCTTCCTACTAAAAGTTGTAAGTATGCTTTAGGTACTTAAACCTGGAACCTAAAGTGATGATAGTTTTATCCTACGAAGAAATTTCCTGTAACCCTAGGCTTGTTGAGGGTGGAAATATTCTTTACGGAAAGTGAACGTAGTTCACGACTCTATCATAATCCTAGTCACCCGGTCTCGGGCTATCGTACGTGTACCCTCGTGCCTAAAAGTCCCAACAGAAGCTAGTCTCCCGGCAGTCCCAACCAATTTTGCTCTTGAGCGGAAGGGATTTGCCGCGACGACGATGGCAGCAGCACTCAGTGACGGAGAAGACTCCCAACACCACTCGGCGACGGCGAAGATTGTTAGGGATTGGGAATTTTTTGCCGCGACGGCGGTCAGCAGCACTGGGCGACGGAGAAGACTCCCAACAACACTCGGTGACGGCGAAGATTGTTAGGGATTGGGAATTTTTTGGGGCAAAATCGTCAAATTGTCAAATTTTGGCGACAAATTTTAAAAAATCTATGGCATTAATTTAGTACCTCTCCTACTCTAAAACCAAACGGCTTTTTGCATTATTCAACTAGAATTCCAATATTTTTAAATGTCAAAAAAAACTTTCGTGTCAGCATCCTATTCCTGAGCTTCCCAAGCAATAATTGGGTGTAATTTACAATTTACATACAGTTAGTTAGCTTATAGGATAGGATAAGATGACCAATGCTAATGTTTAAAAACACAACAATAATAAAAAGAAGTGGCCATTACATCATCTCATAAGTTTCTCAAAATTATTTGTAACTAGGTTGAGACCGCACTTTGTGGAGGATTGGTCAATTTACATATTGTTATTGCTTGTTGAGATTTGATTATTTTACTGTGGTGGATTTATGATGCTTATTGTTTATTGATAATCTTTTATTTGCTATATACATAGCAAAATTTCATATATTGAAAGTTCTAGCCTGAGTGAGAAGAAAAGAGTGTAGAGAGAGTTAAATTGATTAAAATGTGGAACTCAACTTAAAACAACAACTTATTATATAAAATTTTACTCTTTGAATCAAACTTAACATTGAACGAAAAATGTGAGTGATTCATGCATGGCTCAATTATTACTCGTTATAGACCCGTTAGGAAAAATTTTAAATAGCTATCTATACTTGTAAATGAGTATACATATAATATTTCGGCTAGCGTATATTGGCGTACGCTACCTATCATATATCCATTTAGTTTTGCTACTTAGACCACGAATTACCCGAAGTGTTAGACATGATACTATACTCTTCGGCCCCTAATTCTTTAATCAAATATAAGATTCATTTCGTCTAAAATTAATAACCGACGCTTTGATTCATCGAATATATAGAAGTACATATAATACGTGTGAACAAAAATGTATATCATACAACAGGCGCATGCTGGTTTGATCGGCGATCTTGTTCGGTTCTAATTAAAAATCTCATTGGTATTCCTTTTTTTCCATTGTTGTGGTTCTTTTGTTTTTATTTCAAGATTTGATGCTACTTATGGAGCAAGCATATACTTGTTTTCAATCAATTTTATATATACATCGACAATGTCGTAAAGGTATGTTATGTTTTGTCGATGAGAAAAAAAAATTAAATAGCTCGTGGGATGGGGGCGCAAAGTTTTAACAAATATTTTTTGTTGTAGTAATTTATTTTTTTACTTTTTCATTTATGTTGTGTTAGAGTACGTGTAATTGTTAATATGTTGATTGAATTTATGAAGGAAAATTATTACCCATAAATAATCATGGATACATGAAACCCAGACGAGTATGTGTATGATTTCGATATTGTACCCAATTCTTGAGTGGGTATAGATATTGGTAAAACCCAAACTATTTTGAATAGGGTAATTGATATGCACTGTCCACCCTGGCGCAATCCGTTACCATCCCTAGATATGTTTTGTAATTAGCAATAAAAAAAAGCTCTTGAGATGGGGGCAACAAGAGGAACTCCAAGATATTCCCCGGTTTAAACCCAGACCAATCAGCCATACTCTGCATTTGTTCCAAAGTCAAACCCGCACAGAAGAGTTCACATTTACCCGTATTAAAACCAAGTCAATACAGTACTTTAAACCGATCCAACACCCTCTTCACACAATGCAGTCTCATATTAGACCCATCAGTAAACACATGAACATCATTCGCAAAAAAAAAAATAAACAAATGGGTCAACTGAACCTGTTAACACATAAGGTGAGATCCAAACTGATCAATAGAAGCAGCTTCATCAAGCAAGCAAGTAAACACTTCCATCGAAATAGCAAACAAAGAGGGGGAAAGGGGTTCACCCTGTAGTATAGGTTTGTACATTACTATTAGATGGTTTTTATGTTATCTAACCATAATTTTATACTTTTTATACTTTGGGAATTTACTTTGCAATCTTTGTAAATATTATATACTAGTTAAAAGACTAAGAGAGTTAATGAGAAAGAGGGTTTTTGTGTTCCACCTCCAATTTTTTCTCTTCATAGGGGGAGAGGGAATTAAGAATAGAAAGTATTTGAATTTAAAAATAAAAAGAAAAAGGTGGGGACAATACATAATTATAGAAATTTAAAAAATTATAATGTAAAAAAATACTTCTATCACTAATTAGTTGTTCATTATCTTATTTTGATCATTAGATATATTTAACCTTGATTTAAGGGTTAAGAGTGGTTTAATCACTTGACAAAACACTCTAGGCATGAGATCTTCTCCCATTTCATATGCACGGAAAATCTACTTGTATTTTTTTCTTCTAAAAATTCAATTCCTAGTGGGATATACATTTCTACTATTTTTTAAAGTATTGGTGCTTTAAAATACAACTTGAAGTTGTATCATAATGTTAAAAGTACAAATTTAAGTTGTACTATAAGAAAATTTGAAGTTATACCATAACATAAAGATACAACTTTAATTTGTACCATAAATAAATTTTACAAAAAAGAATAGGTATAATTACCATAAACACAAATACTAAAACACCAATGTTTTAAAGAATTGTAAAAAATCTCATATATAATAATATAAGTAAAGGTCAGGAAATTGATACAGTGATAAAATAATGATAAAACATTCACCGTTCAAATATTGAGTCTGACAATTAAAAAAATAAAGATATATAAAGACTTAGACAAAGCCCGTGAAATGAAAGACTGAATGGCAGATTATTATATGGTCAAAGTGAAGCTCAGATAGAATATCCTTATTAATAAGCTGCATAAATATAGATGATTTAGGTGAATAATTTTGTGAATAATTTTATAGTTGATTAGGGAATTCGTTACTAGAATTTTAGTAGCTATCGTGGCTTTATTAGTATCCACCATCTATTTTTTCTCTTTTTTCTCTTTTTTTAATCTCATGGTTAAGACTTAAGATTACTCTAGGACAATTTTGGAAGAAAAATAAGAACACATCTGATTATTCTATATATTTTACTCCCTCTATCTCCCTCCAGTCAAACCCTTCGCAAGCTCTCATTCCTGCTCAACGGCGATGAAATCCGCCCGCCTACGCCAGCCATCCCTAGCCCTCCCTCTCTCTCCGACCCTCCCACTTTTGCCCGCCTCCGCCGACCATCCCTGCCCCTCCCACCGACCCATCTAGATTCCTAGAATCCCACAAGCCTTCCCCACCGATGGATGGATAAGCGACCTGCAATACACAACTTGTTGATGGACAAGCGACCTGGGCGAGTACGGGACCGCGGAGGTCATCAGGGGTTTGGTCGGACAGTAGAGGTCCTCAAAGCAATCAGCGGCGGTGGTCATCCCTCCCCTTCTCTCTATTTACGACCCTCTCGCCTTTATGGTATTGTTTTTGTCGCAATGGTATTGTTTTTAATACAATGGTATTGATTTTGTCACATTGGTATTGTTTTTCTCGCATTGGTACTTGTTTGTGCCACAACACCCGGGTCCCACTTGATGGTGATTTCACCTGCCAACTACCCTTGGGCGCCCAAATCCTGCACCCACAAGCGCCTAATGGGCTATCGACGCCCGTTAGCACTCCGATGCCTAAGTCAGTAACCAATCTAGAGAGATAAGTGTAGAGTGATGTTTTTAGTGAGAGAAACCAACCTGCGTAAATGCTACCTACCGAGTACTATTTATACTCGTCGAGGTTCAGACCGAGCTCCCAGAATCGAGTTCCACGTTAGCTCAACATTAAATGCTTGGTACGGACCAACGGTCGGGCGTCTACACGTGGCGGCTCCTGCTTAGGCGCCCGGAAGGACCACACTGCCAGGTGGCACGTTCTCCGTCTCTTGTTCTTCCCGGCTGCCTGGTCCCCGGCCTACTTTTGTCCCCATGCGCCAGGTCCTCTACCGTTGGGCCTGCCCCCTGTCCTTGGCCTTTTTCCCAAGCTCCGGCGTGGGCTTGGGCCTATGCGACATATCAGTCTATGTCCCCCATGATCCGTCCATCCTCAAGCCTTGATTCTCCACCCGGGCTTGCTCCTCTGCCCTCATGCCATGCGTTTGGGCCCGGGCGCCCCATAGCCCAATCAACCGTGGTCCGTCCGCCTCTGGGCCTTGACTTCTCACCCGGGTCCGTTCCTTTACCCTCGTATCGTGCGTTTGGGCCCGGGCGCCCATAGCCCAACAATTGTCCCCCAGTTAGGCGCTCATGAGTTGTCGTGAGCGCCTAACTATACACCATGCCTTTCTTCTCTCTTGGCCGAGGTTTCCCAGCCTGCCTTTTGATACATGCTAGATGGTGCCTGCACCATCCTCTGCCTTTGGTTGGGTGCCCCAGAGCACTGGCCTTGCGTTCGGTTCTCCTCCACTCCCCGTCTGGGCGCTCGTCTCCCTTCGAACCATCGCTTTATTCCTCATTATGATTTCAGGCGCCCCCTTTTGCCATACACTCGCGCCCCCTAAAATTTGAATTTCTAACAATTCTTAAAATTCGAATTTAGAAATTTAAATTTTGAAATGGATGGTGAGGATTAAATCTAACGGTTGG